GAAAAGCACGCGTTATATCATTAAGAGATATTGGCGTCAACTTTGACGTCGCGTTTCTACGATTACGTCATTTGACCACTATGTTGGAAATGTCATGACACAGCTCATTTGATTATTTATAAAAAAATCTACAGTGATGGACAAGGTTATTACAGATTCAAGGTCATAATCATTTACGTCAAATGATTGTGTACAAATATTAATCAAATCAGTACATTTATAAGAATTTTTCACCTTGTCAAAGTTTTTTTAATGTAAAGGTCAACTAAAATTACTTAACATAATAGTTTTGTCATAAGTGTTTGTCTACGTATCAATTAAATCCATCCATCAATAATAAAGTTGTGGCAATTATGTTTTGAGGAAATTGCACCATTTTTAAGAGAAGTCCATAAAATAAACAGAAATACATATGATGGAAAAGTTATCTATATAGATCCTGGCAACTTCCAGCTAATGTGTAGCAAGCAACACAAAAATAACTAACGGGCCAAGATACGACTTTTTCATTTAAATGCCATAACTCAGCCACAAATCATTCAACCGGATAACCAGTGTAATAAGCGCAAGAACTTGAGCTACCGATTATTCATGTTTCCTTCAAATTCCATCAATGGTATTAGAGAAGTAGTGCGGGCAAACTTAAAATATAACTAGAAATGTGTCGCAAAGCCACGTCATCGAACCATCACCAAATTCGAACTTAACCTGCTTATTCCTGTGACAAATCCATATTTAAATTTGAGTTGAATTTGTACAACTGATGGGAAGATAATGAACTGAACTGAAAATTTCTTCCATTTTTCAAAGTTGAAGAGGGAACATCATCGAACCATGACTGAATTCGAACTTAAGCTAATCATTCTTTAAACGTATCCTAAGGCAAATTTGAGATGAATGTATACCATTGTTGGGAAAATAATAAAGGGAAACTTAAACCTTCTTCAAGGGGCATTTCTTTGTCAAAAGTTACCTGACTATGACCAAATTCAAACTTGACGTACATATTCCTATGATGTATCTATATATAAAATTTGAGTCTGTTGCCAAGATAATGAAAATAAACTGATGATGGCAGAATAACGAAATGACAGAATGATGAAATGACGGGACTGGGTAACACAATATGCCCCGGTCATTTTATGGCAGAGAGATAAAAAAAATCTTTTAAGGGCAATCACTATGTTTGTATGAAATTGCAGAAGTTGTTTTTTGAGGAGTGGTCCGGATACGATTTGTAAAGGACGGACGGATGTTCGAAATGAGATAAAGGGCCCTTTTCTTTTGTTGGAATCATATTTCTGTTGTTACGGAATGATCTCTTTTGTTCTGATTACAATTAAGTGCCCCTATCCCTTTAAGGTAGTGCACATGAACAGTCAGGTGGACGACAGAGAAATAAATTTCTATATGTCACTTCTACTTTGTAGCAGGTGACACAAAAATTAACTATAAATGAAAATATTCCAAAATGATAAGATTCAATGACTTTAACAACACTTGACTGTGAGTAAAAATAAGAAAATTACAATAAACCTATCAACAATTCACTTTCCCAATGACTGTGGTCTGTCAAAGGAGTATGTCCATGAAAGCTGACATAATAGTCTATAGTTGCTTTCTCAATTTTGACATTTTAAAATAAATGTTCTTATATCAACAAAAAAAGTATAGGAGCAACTTAAAATCTACGCCTGTATATCAGGATTAATGTGATGTACATACACATGCCGTTTCTTTGGTAACATAGACATATCTTTATATAAAGATTCCTGATATATTCATGCATTAGTGCACGACTTGTGGTGTGTCTGGGTATAACTGTAATTATAGGCATTCTCTATCGTAGAGACTGTAGAGTACCTATTATCCATCACTAAAGCTAATTTCTTCAATATCATTATATCCTACATAAATAAAATACCCATAAAATAACTTCATCAATGTAACCTATATAACTATTATTTATGTACTCTTAGTCTATATTATCTATGAATTCTATGTCCAGATAATCTTTGACTTATAGGTCTAGATAATTTATGTCTTCTAAGTCTATATTATCTATGACAACCAGGTTCAGATGATCTATGTATTGTAGGCATAAATAATCTATGTTTTCTAGTTCTATATTTTCTATGACTTCTAGGTCTAGATCATCTATGTCTTGTAGGTCTAGATAATCAATGTCTTCTAGTTCTAGATTTTCTATGTCTTCTTGGCCTAGATTATTTATGACTTCTTATTCTATTCAGGGTTGAGGTAAAGATTTAAAAGATGGACAAAATATAAGTTTTAACAAGCAATTATTATAGTATTGCAAGCAATCCATTAGTCCCCTACCGGTTAGAACCCCAGCAACATTTTGATGGGCCATTGGCCATTCAATTTTACCAGTGAATGAATGACATAAATGAACTTAAATCTTTTGAGTTCTAAGTTTGTCTATATCATAGTAATGTGTTAAGTTTCCCTGCCTAGTAAGGAAATTATGTTTATACAACAGATAATCAAAAGGTCCAATTTTCTCAGGATGAATAAGTATAACTAATGTTTCAACTTTTCTCTATTTTAAGTAAATTTGTAGGAAAAATCTTTAAAAGTGATCTCAGGTCGAAACAGTTTTTATGAACAGACAGACAGACTGAAGGAGACTCTATTTTTTTTAAACATCCCTGTTACCAAAATATAAAATATTTTAATACAAAATTCTTAAAGAGGAGATAACTCTTGAAATAACGATGCCAGATTTATGAACATTGATGTGAGTTTTACTTAAAGTTTAAAGATACCATTTATAGTCACAAAGAAGATAAGTAAAAAATAACAATTTTCAAATATAGCATTAACTATAATGTATAGTATTAAAGTAACAAAGATGAAAATTAATAACACAAAATATAATGTAGGTGTTGATAATAAATGTTTAGAAAGTCCATGAAGAAATAAGAAAGTTAAAGAATGAATAAGAAAAATTCAAAGTTTAAGGAGGAGATAATTCGGAAAATATGGATCTAGATTTATAAACCTTGTCATATTATTATGATGTGGGATTTTAAAGTAAATCCTATAAGGAATGAAGAAGTTGGAGTAAAAAATACCAATTTCTCGAAAAAAAAATCTAAGTTCAAGGGGGACATAATTCTAGAAATAGTCTTGCTAGAGTATTTAACCTTCTCACAAATGTTGAGTGATAATAAGAAACATATATATGAAGTTTGAAGTAGATACATTAAGGAATAAAGAAGTTATTTAAAAAAGACAACATTTTTTCATAAAAATTCTAAGTTCAAGGGAGGTAATTCTGATAATTTTTGTGCTAGAGTTGTAAACCTTGTCCCATATGATGTGGTTGATGACCAGAAACTTATATTTAAAGTTTGAAGTAAACACCTTAAGAAATAAAGAACTTATAGTGAAAAGGCGTAAAAATTCAAATCAGAAATCTTGGAATTCAGTATATTTGTTGCCATAGCAACCAGAATTTTCAACATAGGAAGAAAAGAAAAAGATGTGCATAATTTCCAGACTGTCATCTACCAATATTTCAAGTTTCATAAAAATATTTTCAGTACTTTTTGAGTTATCACTGGATCCAGTTTATGTGTAAAAATGGAACCAGAATTTTCAACATAGGAAGAAAAAAAAAGACGTGCATAATCTCCATACTGCCATTTATCCAAATATCAAGTTTCATAAAACTATTTTCAATACTTTTTGCGTTATCGCGGGATCAAGTTTTGTGGACGGACGGACTGACAGACAGACAGACGGACGGAGGGTAAACCTTAAGTCCCCTCCGGTTAAAGAGGTAGGGGCTAATTATCATTGAAACTCCAACTAGTTAAATATTAATGTTGTACTTGTTTGGATGTTGCAAACTTACCTGTCGTTGTACATCAAAGCTTGGATTCAAACAAGTTTCATTTAGATATTAGTTCAGCTGAATTTTTTTATAAAAATCGTTGGATTAATAAAAAAAGAATTTAAAGGCTTGAACCATCCAATCCCTCTAGTTTTTAATTTTGTAATTGTAATTGTTATTGATGGATAGTCCAAAACTGTGGTAGATGTGTTCGCAAGAGTCAGATGGTGTGTCACGCACTAAATCAAGTCAAGTCTAAAATTCCATTCGACTTGGGAACCGATGTTCTATAAACATATATATGTATAATATTTCTAGCTGACAGACACATGCCATGACCATTCTTTTTTGTAATACGTACTTTCATTTATCAGATATGTTTTGTTCAAGAGATTTTAAGTAACACCATTTTATAAGAAGAAACTGTTTTGTTTTTCTCATTTTCTTCAGATATCATTGACTTTACGTGACAGCACAATTTTGTAAGAAAAATATTTCACAAGTTTTTTATATGCAGGTTGAACTTTAGTTTAAACATATTTATTTAACCTCGATTGTGAATCAACTTCTTGCAACTTATATTAATCACTTTCAAGTCTGCTTCCTGGAACCAACCAGTACTGATGTCATATGAAGGAACATGGTCGCGACAGAAGAAGGGCTCGAACCTATGATCACTGGGTTCAAAGGTAAACATCACTAGGTAAACGCTCTCCATTACCCTACTGATTTTCTGCAATGGAATTTTCATTGCATATATTATTTTGTCAGAAACGATAGAGATACTATAAAAAGAGCAGCTTTTAACAGTACAAAAGCTTTTCTATTTGATCCCAACTCTCTTTTCAATGTCCAGCTCGTGTAAATTTCATTTTAAAAAAATTTTGCTTAAAAAAGTATCCTTTATGCTTGGCCAAAAATCTTTTTTTATTAAACAAGAAACAATCTTTTATAAAAATTTAAAAATTTTATTATCAAATTTAATTTGAAAAAATATTTTCCTTTTTTTAATTGGTTTTTTCCGAGTTAAAAATTGCAAAAATTCTGTACATAACTATTTTTGGTACGCTTTATTTTGATAGAAAAACGGATCATGTTTATGAGATAAATTTTCACGGAATGACATTGCATTGTTGATTCATAACATAAATGGATTGAAGTTTATCAAATAAAGGCGGCTATTTTAAAAAACTTGAAAATATAAAGAGTATGTTATTAAAATAGGAATATAAGAAATATTATTAAAATTTGAGGATCGTGATTTTACTTTAAATCATAATGTTTAAAATGACATTGAAAGGAAACTAACTGGTTTAAACAAGATAATTAACAAAATGGCGACAGGTGGACAAATCAATACGGATATTCTTTCAGATGAAATATTTGATGTATTATGTTCAATGTGTAAAAATCAAGGCAAAAACGCCGAAGGTGTAAAATACTGTGTAGACTGTAAAGATTATTTCTGTGTTAATTGTGTAAAAGTTCACAGTCAGGTACCTGTTTTAGTTGGTCACAAGGTGCTGGATAAATCTCAAGTCAGGTCAGGAACCATTAAAGGTCTACCGAGGGTACCAGCTGAGAGATGTGACAGACATAGCCATAAACACATTGATATGTACTGTCAGAACCATGATAATGTTGGCTGTTCTACATGTATGGCAGTTGATCATAGGTAAATTTAATGTATAAACATAGATAATATTTTCAAGAAACATGACATTATGCTCATTTTTCATTGTCAAAATTAGCTGAATTGACTATATATTTGATATGATGGACTGTAAAAATGGTGATTTACCAACAGTTGAAATTTGTCATTGTTTTCGGAAAAACATTAATCTAGATTAATATAAAAAGATTGCCCCCACTCTCTTAATAAATTGAATATTACAGGTAAATTTGGATGGATATTTATATACCCTTTAATATATGGAAAGTTTAATAGGTACTCAAAAGTCTTAACATAATATTATATTCTATACCGGTATGTTACAGAGAATAAAATATCTAATATTATTTTCTCAGTCATATTATAGTTTCATATACATAGACTGCTTGAACTTATTTTTCAGATTATGCAAGGACACTTTCTACATACCAGAATTTATCCAAAACAATACTTACAAAGTTGCATCCAGAGAAATTCAATCAAAACTGAAAACCTTAATCAAGACCCTTGCAGAACAAGCGGATAGATTTAAACATGATAAACAAAGGCTGCTAAAGAGAAAAGCAGAAATACTATCTGATATCAGAAAATTCCGTCAAGAAATCAATGAATATCTTGACAAGTTGGAGAAAAGTTCTATCGATATGATAGAAAGTAAAGTCAAATGTCTTGAGGACAAAATAGAAGATGGTCTCAAACAGCTACAAGCAAACAAGTCCAGGGTTACATCAGCTAATGATAAATTAGCATCTTCAAAAACCACAAATCAAGCTGAAGAATTTGTTTATGTCAAGATGGGAGAAAATGCTGCAAATGTTGCCAACAAATATATAGAAGATGCAAAATTCCAAAGTACAGCAGAAGACATAGAGTTTCAACCTGATAGAACAATTCTTACACAGCTAGAACAAAAGAAGACCCTAGGCATACTTTCAGAGAAACCTACAAAGACTGCTGCCAATTTATTTCAGATTAAAGGAAATCAATCATACAATATAAAAGTTAAGTCTGATAAAAACAATTGTTATATCACCAGTGCCTGTTGTATGGATGATGGTACAATCATTCTAGCTGATAACAAAAACAAGAAGCTTAAACGGTTACACAGTTATAACTATACAGTCACAGACTACTGTGATCTTCCTGGATATTCACATCAAGTATGTATGATCAATAACACAGAGGTAGCAGTAACTGTTCCATTACAAAAGGAGGTTTATTTCGTTTCTCTACAAAGACAAATGAAAACAACAAACAAGATTAGCACTGATTTTGAATGTTATGGTCTTGCATATGCAAACAATAATTTATATATTTCAAATAATAGCACATCAGTATATGTGTATACATTATCTGGTAGGAAGCTTAATCAGATCAGTAAGGATCTGTCAGGACGTAAGATGTTCTCTAACATATGCAGTCTAGCTGTCAGTCAGAATGCTACAAGGATTTATGTTGCTGATTACAATAATGGACTGATAGTACTGGACCACAATGGTCAGGTTATTACATCATTTAATGGTGAACAATTAAAGTGTGCTTACTTTTGTTCTCTCACTGAAGCAGGAAGTGTGCTAGTATCTGTAAATAACTCCAATAATGTTTTACAGTTTACATGTGATGGGGAACTGATTGGAGAGGTTATAAAAGCTGATAGTAGAAAAGGGCAAATTAGATCAGTCTGTTGTAATCAACGAATGACTAAGATGTGTATAAGCAGACAGGGAAATGACAATATTGAAGTGTATGATATCTAACCTGTTAAGTAAATATATGAACCACTATCAATAAAAATATTATTTAAAGAATATCTTGATTCATATGTAAAATACAATTTTCAAACATTAAATGTAAAAAGAAAAACAGGAACTTAGATAACTTTATTGTGATTAGTATACACATGTACAATTTGTAATGATACTAGTTTAATTCATTGTGAATATAATTTAATTATGTTGTGAAAAAATCATTTGATTTATCATATACATTATATTGTTGCATTCTGATTTGTTCTTAATACAAAATTGATATTTTTTAAATTGGATGTTGTGTAAATGAGATTGTATCCATGTGTAAAATAAATGTATAATTTAAACGCCTAAAGTTCCTTTACATATATTCATATACTTTCAACAGTAATTATCAAAAACATATAGCAAAATGAGTGGTCCTTTGCACATTTAAAAAGCCCTCGCAAGTTTCTTACTGTTGTTTATTGTATTACAAGACATGCCCACGAGCAAGTGTCGAACCCGCTCGTCTTAATTTAAACCTGAACCTATAAGTTTCTGATCAAGAAAAAAGATGTATAAATAGGTGAGAAGTGCGCAACACATCCTCTTTATACCCAAGGCAAAATCTTGACATTGCATCATCTTGGGTGACCTTCGCCTCTGAACCGGTGACCTGGTTCATTCGCATGACACAAGGTCTCATGATAAACATTTGTGCCTAAAAATTGATTCATATTATTTGAAAATTCCACCATGCACAAAGAAGTTATGGCATGGACATGTTTGGATGTACGTTTGCATGACCTTTTTTGTCCTTGACCTTTGCGCAAAACATCTCAGCTCACCATGGAAAATATTTGTGCTAAGTTATATTTAAAAAAATCCACCCATGTATTAAGAAATTATACCCACAAATAAATGTTTTAATTTGCTATTTGACCCTTTACCCTGAAGTAAGACCTTTGCCATAGACACCTGAATTTTTTGCACGACATTCCGCCTCACTATGTTGAACAATTGCCCCGAATTATATAAAAAAAATCCCATATCGCATGTAGAAGTTACGCGCCGGACACGGGTTTTGGGCCGACCTCCCAAGTGTGACCTTGACCTTTGAGCGGCAGACCTGGGTTTTGTATGTGACACACCACCACATCATGGTAAAAATTTGTATCAAACGATTTTGTAATCCTTCAAAAATGAGCAAGATATAGACCTGACATATCTAGACGGACACACAGATTGACGGACGCACAACAAAATACGCAAAAAGTGGTGACTAAGTCAAGCTCACCTCAAGCGGGCTCGACAAAAATTCATACAAAATTCATTCTATGGCAACCGGAAATGCAGTAACATGAAACAAATTGAGGAGTTTTATCAAGTCATGATTGGTTATATGTTTGATATTGCTTTGACAAAGTTTGTTTTTTTGTTTGGTTGTTTTTTTACAGTGTTCGTACAGTTTCGGTCTTGCAGTGTCGAAGTTTGGCTAATATGGTGATACAAACATGATTGTAAACTTACATGTAGTAGAATCAAATGAAGCATTAAATTAAGTATGTACATTTAAGGGTATTATATATAAATTGTAAATGTTGTTTACCAACAGTACCTACAGTGGTGGAAACACAACTGTTTACCTTGATTAGAGGAATTAAAAACGTGCACTTAATACATCAACACATATCGTAATGTCCGACATTTATGCCAAGTAGTTTTAATTTCCTTTCATTCAAGAGATACAGAGCAGATACTTAGATGCTGATGGAGTGACAGAGGGAACAACGAGGGTCAAGCAGATTATTATATGTCTGAAATCCTTTATGATGTATAAAATGATTGCCAGGCATATTTTTCAATCATAATATAATCAAAATACACTTTACAACATATCTCAAACAAGAGCTGGTCGAACCAGGCGATGCTCCAAAAATAGGTTTGGACACGGAGAAGTAGTTTCTTGTTGATATCTCTTGTTATTTCAGAGTTATGCAGTGTAAAAAGGCAATAACTTCAAAATGAGATAAGACAGAGTTACGATTCTTATGCCCGGACAAAGGTCAACGTGTAACAATGAACAAAGGACAATAAATCCAAAATTAGGTAAGGCAGAATTATTGCTCTTTTTCCCTGCACAACTTCCTTATTAGAAAGTTTCTTGTTGATACCTATTGTAGTCAGAGTTATCTCCCGGACAAAATTCAAAGTGATAAAATGAACAAAGGACAAAATTTGGCACGGCAGAGTTCTTTTACACTGCAAATTGTACTCAATGCGATCTATCTACCTACAAAGTTTCTTGTTGATATCTCTTGTAGTTTTGAGAGTTATGTCCTGGACAAAAAAAGTGGACAGATGGACGTACTTATGAAATGGTACTTATGTGACTTTTCCTTTTATCTTTTTAGTCATTTTCAGTCACACAAGACCTTAAATAAAGACACACAGTCAAGTAAAAAGGGAATAAATAGGATCAAAGTACATGTACCGTCACCTATTGTTCTCCTAGTCACACATTACCTCCGTGCTTGTATGGACAGCCGGATGGACAGAAAAACGAAGCGACGACTATATGCTCTCTCTTCGTAGAGCATAATACATGCAATTGTCTAGTGTTCACTAGAATAAGGGTGGCGATGTTGACCTAAGTATGCTATGCTAGGCCATCTTGCACATCAAAACACTTTTACCAAGCCCTATTGTTGGATATACTTTAAACATTTTACTTTGAATTGCATTGAAAATTGATTAAAACTGTTGCTAATTCAAATCAAATATCATAACAGATATTCACGAGGAAAGGCTAATACTTGTTTCCAAATTCATATTATAAGCAAATTAAAAAAAAAGCAATCTCATTGACAATGTAAATTTTATTCCAATCCAAATTTCATTAAAAAATCACCTTCACTTAAAATAGCACATAATGAAATAACAAATATTGATTGGCTGAAACAAATATTCATTCACAATGCAACAAAAATATGCTGTCAATATTTATAAAAAAAACAAATAAATCTCTGCATGTAGTAACAAACACATAATCAGTAATTTACAAGAAAAATATCAGATTTCAGAGAAAAAAAACAGTAGTAAAGTAAAAGTAAATTTGTTATCTGGGGGATAACATGTAACTTATATTTGAGAGTTTAGACCATTCTAGTTAACTCCTAATGTGGATTTCTTAAAAGGAATTGGTTTATTTCAAGAGCTGTCCATTATCATTTTTTGGATACCCAGGAGAAATATTTGAACTTGGTCATCTAACATTATAGAGATTCGTCAGGCAGAGGCTGCATGGATATGTAGACAGGTTGCTCTATTCTGGTGGCAAACTCCAATAACTTTCAGTTCTAGAAGGGTATTTGAAAAGCTTTTCATTTTTAGTTATTCTGGGAAAATGGAGTGGGCAAATGATCTGAGATATTTGCAAACAAGTTATTCGTTAAGACTATCAGCAAATGCAACATTAATCTTGAAAAATATTTCCAGTCACTTTATGTTAAAAAAAACTCAGTTTAAAACCCTTTAAATGTGTGTTTCTATATACGTCTATATATAAATCAAGTGACCCTAGTCAGACAAATATTGACTCCCGGGGCAGTTTTGTAGAGGCTCATAAAGTAATATTACATGCTTATTTGTTTGTTTGTGTTGGGTTTTACGTCACATCGACACAGTATAGGTCATATCGCGACATTCCAGCTTTACTGGTGGAGGAAGACCTCAGGTGCCCTTCCGTGCATTATTTCAGGCACGAACAGGCACCTGAGTAGAACCACCGACGTTCCGTAAGCTAGCTGGATAGCTTCCTCACATGAAAGAATCCAAAGTCCCTGTCGGGATTCGAACCCACAGCAGTGATGGGCAAGTGGTTTGAAGTCAACGACCTTAACCACTCGGCCACGGACGCTCCACTACATGCTTAAAATCTTAGTTCTTTGCATTGTAGTTTCACACAATTATAACATTTAAAACTAGAACTGCCACTATCATGGCGTGAATACCCCCGCATACCACTTTGTCAGAATCAACAGTGGCCATTTAGAGCTCAAGGACAACCTCCCTGCCAAATCTGAGATTACTAAGCCAGTGCATTGCTAAGTTATGTATTCTACATGCTTCAAATGTGAAAATGTCAATACATTGCGGACAGGACATTCTTTAGCAATTGAGAAAGGTCCCTGTGACCTTGACCTTTGACCCAGTGACTTCAAAATCAATAGGGGTCACCTTATAGTCATGATCAACATCCATACCAAATATGAAGACTGTGGGTCAAAGGAATCTTAAGTTAATGGGTGGACAAACTTTTTGAAGTCAAAGTCCCTATGACCTTGACCTTTGATCCAGTGACCTCAAAATCAAAAGGGGTCATCTACTAATCATGATCAACATCCATGCCAAATATGAAGACTGTGGGTCAAAGGAATCTAAAGTTATTGGGCAGACAAACTTTTTGAAGTCAAAGTCCCTGTGACCTTGACCTTTGACCTGGTGACCTCAAAATCAACAGGGGTCATCTACTAATCATGACTAACCTCCATGCCAAATATGAAGACTATGGGTCAAAGGAATCTTAAGTTATTGGGCGTACAAGCTTTTTGAAGTCAAGGCCCCTGTGACCTTGCCCTTTGACCTGGTGACCTCAAAATCAATAGGGGTCATCTACTAATCATGACAAACCTCCATGCCAAATATGACGACTGTAGGTCAAAGGAATCTTAAGTTATTGGGCGGACAAGCTTTTTGAAGTCAAGGCCCCTGTGACCTTGACCTTTTACCTGGTGACCTCAAAATCAATAGGGGTCATCTACTAATCATGACTAACCTCCATGCCAAATATGAAGACTGTAGGTCAAAGGAATCTTAAGTTATTAGGCGGACAAGCTTTTTGAAGTCAAGGCCCCTGTGACCTTGACCTTTGACCTAGTGACCTCAAAATCAATAGGGGTCATCTACTAATCATGACTAACCTCCATGCCAAATATGAAGACTGTAGGTCAAAGGAATCTTAAGTTATTGGGCGGACAAGCTTTTTGAAGTCAAGGCCCCTGTGACCTTGACCTTTGACCTAGTGACCTCAAAATCAATAGGGGTCATCTACTAATCATGACTAACCTGCATGCCAAATATGAAGACTAAGGGTCAAAGGAATCTTAAGTTATTGGGCGGACAAGAAAAAACCGACGGACAGCCGGACGGCCGGACAAGCTGATTCCAGTATACCCCCCTTACAACTTTGTTGTGCGGGGGTATAAAAAAAAAAAAAGGCTATATATTACCATATATTGACCCAAGGGGCATGATTAAAAATTAATATCAGTTTTGTCGCGGTCAATAAGTAAATGATGCATGCCAAATATCTTAGCTCTGGGCATTGTAACTTTAAATAATTAGTCACAAATAAGCTTTATAGAAGTCTTTATAAAATATGTGACCCCTGGGGTACAGCTAATATTGACACAAGGGGCATGATTTATATCAATTTCGTAGATGTCAACAAGGCAATGCTGATGCATGCCAAACATCTAGACTCTCGGCACTACATGTAGTTTCACCAAAATAAGACTTAAATGTGTTTTCCTATATAAGTCTATATAAATCAAGTGGGGTCAGTAATGAACGCAAGGGCATCAGTTCTGAAAAGGTCAATAAGGCAATGTTAAAAGCTAAATATTTAAGCTCTACACATTTAAGTCTCACACAATGAAACTTAAATGTGTTTTCCTTTATAAGCATATTAATTTCTGCCAGAAAGTTGTAATTTCTATCGGTTCTAAAGATACAGAGAGGAAAACAATTCATACAAATGACTATGTATGACATTGACCTTGACCAGAGGTAGGTCAAACCTGCGCTCTCCACATCGTCTGATTATAGTGAATATTTAAGCTGAGTAGTCTCAATTTTCTTCCACAATCTCAAAAGAAAGACCGGCCATTACAATTTCTAACAGACCAGATGGACAGACAGCCAGGTACATAACATTATATGCAAAAAAATTGTCATGTGTATAAAAGATGGAAAAGTTTCTATGAAGAAAACAGTTGATTATATTACTGGGATCCATTTGAGTACTGACTTCTCGATCTTCTTTTATTTTCTTTTTCTCTTCTGTTTTCTCTTGCTTCCATAGTTAACCACTCACTTACTTACATTTTTCCATCAGATGTCAACCATTATTCCGTCCAAAGTCACTTTGTAACAATCCCAGAAACAAAGAAACAGAAGAAGGTAATATTTCCTTTAAAAGCTGTAGATTATTAAAATCCTTAAAAGAATTTTGAGTCATATGGATACATAAATCACTAGTATCACATTCGTATCTGTTTCATTTTATAAATTAACACTTTTAACATCTCAAGAACCAAGATATATTCTTCAGTGTTTGAGGCGGAGAACCTCTCTTGTCTTTTACCATGAGAATAACTCTTGATTGCCTTCAACGCTTCCTGAAAGTAATGCAATTTGTAAAACTTTAGACTATTCTTTATTGTTTTAAAAATAAATTACAAGCATAAACAAGAGCTGTCTGTAGGACAGCATGCTCGACTATTCTAAGTGCTTGATAGTAAAAGAGCCTTGATAATGTTAAATTTTTTAAGTTCACAAAAGGGCTAATTTTTTTTTATAAATTCATGTTATAGGCCTTAGAGAGAGTCTAATTATACAGTATTGGCTTGACTATTTAGAAGGTAATGTCACAAGGGTGTTTTATTGAGTATAATAATACTAATTACCTATGAATACATAAATTTGACAGAAAAGGTACAAAGGCTTGTTATTAAGATGTTTTATCAAGTAAATCACTGCTTTATTATTATGAATGCACAAAATTGTCCAAAAAAGGCACAAACCCTTCAGTAGTTATTGAGATAACAGCTTACAAGCAAAACTTTACCATGAATTTCTAAGTTGAAAAAGGGGAGAAAATCAGCCTAAATGCAAGATAGAATTATGGATCTTTGTCAGTGACCTACAATTATGACCCTAAATGCATATGTGAAGTTTTAAATAAATATCTTTAATAGTTATTGAGATATGTAAAACTTGCATGTAAACATTTACCAAGAGACTAAGTAGAAAAGGGGATATGAATCAGCCTTAATGCAAGATAGAGTTATGGAACTTGGTCAGTGACATACAATTATGACCCTCCAATTATGACCCTAAGTGCATGTGTAAAGTAGTAAATATCTTTGAAGACCTTTAACCTTTAACCAAAATTTCTAAGTTTCAAAGGGGCAAACAATTCTGCAAAGATTGCAGGCAGAGTTATGCAATTTTGCAAACTGATGTACATTGTTACTATAAAAGAGTGTTTTAAATTTAAATTGAATATCTCGAGCAATAATTGAGATATTTGACTTTACAAAAAAACTTTAACCAAAATTTCTAAGTTCCAAAGGGGCATAATTCTGTCAATATTGTAGGCAGAGTTATCCAACTTGTCAATTTGATGTACCTTGTTACTATAAAAAAGTATTGTAAGTTTGAATTGAATATTTCAAGCAATAATTGAGATATTTGACTTTACAAAAAACTTTAACCAAAATTTCTAAGTTAAAAAGGGGCATAATTCTGTCAATATTGTAGGCAGAGTTATCCAACTTGTCAATCTGATGTACCTTGTTACTATAAATAAGTATTGTAAGTTTCAATTGAATATCTCAAGCAATAATTGAGATATTTGACTTTACAAAAAACTTTAACCAAAATTTCTAAGTTGAAAAGGGGCATAATTCTGTCAATATTGTAGGCAGAGTTATCCAACTTGTCTATCTGATGTACCTTGTTACTATAAATAAGTATTGTAAGTTTCAATTGATAATCTCGAGTAATAATTGAGATATTTGACTTTACAAAAAACTTTAACCAACGCAGACGCCGACGCGGACGCCGACGCGACTACAATAGCTCTCATATTCTTCGAATAGTCGAGCTAAAAACTATTGAACCACTGACCTTCCAAATGCTTGTTGAACATATTTTCAAGACCCTAGCCTAAAGCAAGATCATGTAAATGAGGGGCAAATAATTTGAAATCATACAAACTTTACATTAAGGTCAAGGAAGTCAAAAGGAAGTTTTTATATCAATTAAAGAGAAATTATTCTGCAAAACTTACTTGGAGCCAAATATTTCATCAGCATCTGGTGCACCTTTAGGATGTTGGTATCGAACTCGTCTCTCACGGTTGTTGTTCACCAACATCGGACGGTTCAGTGAAGCCAACATTTCTATGGAATATAAATAGTTCTGAATGAAAATTACATTTCTTACACCCTTAAAATATAACTCCTTAACTTATTTGCTTTTTTATTAAATATAGATGCTGGTTTTCTTTTTGCCTCACCAGTTTTTAAACAAATTCAACCCCTATTTTTACACGTTTGATAACAATGAAAACTATCTTGAAAATGTTACATTTACAAAATGGTTTAAAAATTAATTTGTAAGGTTTTTAACCTTTACTACTTTTTTGTAAAAATGCATTTAAAGTTTGCATTTGCCATGGCAAAGTGTGTTTTGCCATGGCATTTCGGTATTTTGCCATAGCAAATATTTTACCATGGCAAGATTTTACCTACATTTGCCATGGCAATATTTTTTTTTTAATCACAAAACAATCTAAAACTTATCCTTTAACATGTTCTTGGGACAATTGTTATGTTTTTATTGCAATTTCTATTTCTTTAAAAGTGTGTTTTGCCATGGCATTTCGGTATTTTGCCATAGCAAATATTTTACCATGGCAAGATTTTACCTACATTTGCCATGGCAATATTTTTTTTTTAATCACAAAACAATCTAAAACTTATCCTTTAACATGTTCTTGGGACAATTGTTATGTTTTTATTGCAATTTCTATTTCTTTTTCATTTTGCCACGGCTCAACTATATAGGAATGTGAGGAAAAAAACTTATCCATCCCTGAAATATGTCCTTAACTCAGAACAGTGGTGAGTGAGTTGTAAAACTTATATATGTCTCAAATATAATCTTAACTATGAACAGTGGTGAGTGAGTTGTAAATCCTATATATTACTAGAATATCTGCTGTACTCTAAACAGTAGTTTGTTTGTTTATTCGGTTTAGTTTTACAGCTCAAAACACAATTAAGGTTGTATGGCGCCGAAACAGAAAATATGATTTTGGTTAACCTCCAGTGTTACAAACTAAAAGGAACACCAGAAGTCAAAAACCACCTCACCTGAAGAAATGACTTCAGGAATTCAAACATATTAAGTCGCCCTTTACGATCATGCAGGGATAAACGGTGGCTACAATTCTGATGCCTGAACCCTCAGCCACAAAGGGGCTAAACAATGGTGACTTGTAAAACTTACATATACTTGCAATAAGTTTTTTTTACTCTGAACAGTGGTAAAGGAGTCATAAATCTTATATATATACCTTGATAATCTTCCTCCTCCTGTCTTTCATGTATATCTAGGACAACCTGCTTCATACGTTCTTTCTCCACACGCTCAGCCTAACAAAACAAAATGAACAATTAACAAAAATATCAGAGAAGAAAATGTTGGTATCATCCTCGGATAAATAACAAGAGGGCCATGATGGCCCTGAAGTCGCTCACCTGTATATAGGCCCCCCTAGCGGGGCCAGTTTAAACCCCAGGGCTTTTATTTGAACAAACTTGGTAGACACCCATTAGAAGATGTTTCATGCTAAACATCTAAGGTTTAGCTGGTCAAGTTTTTTCTTTACACATATAGTTAAAAACAATGACACACCAGGGGCAGGGCCAGTTTGGACCCCAGGGCTTTTATTTGAACAATCTTTGTAGACACTAACTAGAAAATGTTTCATGCTTAATATCTGAACTCTAGCTATTCGGATTTTTCGAAGAAATTTTTTAAGATTTTGCTATACACATATAAGGAAAATCAATGACCCATCGGGGTGGGGCCAATTTTGACCCCAGGGCTTTTATTTGAACAAACTTTGTAGACACTTACTAGAAGATGTTTCATGCTTAATTTCTAAACTCTAGCTATTTGGGTGTTTTCAAAGAAGATTTTTAAGTTTTTGCTATACACATATAAGGAAAATCAATGTCCCCTGGGGCGGGGCCAATTTTGACCACAGTCAAATGTTTCATGTTTCATGCTTAATATCTAAACTGTAGCTATTTGGGTGTTTTCAAAGAAGATTTTTAAGTTTTTGCTATACACATATAAGGAAAATCAATGTCCCCTGGGGCAGGGCCAATTTTGACCACAGTCAATTTTGAACAAACTTTGTAGACACTTACTAGAAGATGCTTCGTGCTTAATATCTAAACTCTAGCTATTTGAGTTTTTTCAAAGAAGATCTTTTAAGTTTTTATTATACACATATAAGGAAAATCAATGACCCCCTGGGCGGGGCTAATTTTGACCCCAGGGCTTTTATTTGAACAAACTTGGTAGACACTCACTAGAAGATGATTCATGCTTAGTATCTAAACTCTAGCTATTTGTTTTTTTTTCAAAGAAGATTTTTTAAGTTTTTGCTATACACATATAAGGAAAATCAATGACCCCCGGGGCGGGGCCAATTTTGACCACAGGGCTTTTATTTGAACAAACTTTGTAGACACTTACTAGAAGATGCTTCGTGCTTAATATCTAAACTCTAGCTATTTGAGTTTTTTCAAAGAAGATTTTTTAAGTTTTTATTAAACACATATAAGGAAAATCAATGACCCCCGGGGCGGGGCTAATTTTGACCACAGGGCTTTTATTTGAACAAACTTGGTAGACACTCATTAGAAGATGTTTCATGCTAAATATCTTAGCTCTAGCTTTTTGGGTTCTTTAAAAGAAGATTTTTTAAGTTTTTACTATATGCATATAGGGAAAATCAATGACCCCCTGGGGAAGGGCCAATTTTGACCCCAGGGCTTTTATTTGAACAAACTTGGTAGACACTCACTAGAAGATGTTTCATGCCAAATATCTAAGCTCTAGCTCTTTGGGTTTTTTAGAAGAAGATATTTAAAGTTTTTTTCTTTTAGTTGCCATGGCAACCAGAGTTCTGCATGGAATTATATTCTTTGAACAATTTTCAAAGGTGACCACCAAAGGAACATTCCTGTGAAGTTTGGATGAAATTGGCTTAGTGGTTTATGAGGAGATGTCATTTAAAGTAAAAGTTTACGGACGACGGCCGGACGCTGGACGAAAAGCAATCACAAAAGCTCACCCTGTCACTTTGTGACAGGTGAGCTAAAAGTAGCTAGCTATGTTCATTGGTTAGAAAAAGTTCAAGTCTGTATGGAATTAATTGACATGTTCAAACACTAGATGAAGACTTAAACGTTAAAGAAGTCTATTTTGGGCTCAATGGCAATCTAAAGCTAGGTATCTACGTAAGCTCTATATTTACATATTTCGAATACTTTTTCAAGGTATCGACCGGAAAATAATTTCTAATTTTAGTATCAATGATCTTATCCTTGACCCAAGGGGACAAAAAACCCAAAACAATCCCAAGCATGGTCTCCACCTTAGTTTGCAATACAGGTAGTTGATTTATAAAATCTCATTTCTAATTCTTGTTATCAACGGGAAAACATTGTTTAGAAAAAAAGACTTTGATTACATATCATCAGCATCCTTGGAAATAAGACTGTACATTAAATCACAATGAAGATTTTTTTGTTACATATCAGTAATTAATGATAAATTTTTTGGTTATAACTCTACATAGACATATCCTGCAGTTATAAACATAACTAGAACTATCACTAAATGTGATTAATACCCCCACAAGACTGCTTCGGAAATGAGGATGTTACTAGTAACAGAATACCTTGTAAAAGAATTGAAATATAGAGTTATGGTTGTTGGCAATTAAAGATAGTTGTGGTTCTTGTATGTTGCATTTCCTTTCAATGTGGTTGGCCATTGATGAAGTTTAATTGAATTACTCTGTAATAAGTCCAGAAAGACAAAAAAGGAACAAAGGGCAAAAAACTCTATAAAAACTGAAAGATAGAGTTATAGTTCTTGTGCACTGCACTTCCTCTTATTGTGCTTGAACATTGTATGAAGTTGTTTTGAATTCCAACCAGTACGTATTAAGTTATGCTCAGGACAAGGAAAAGTATCGAAGGGCAGTAACTCTGTATTTTGTCAAAATGGAGTTATGGCTCTTGTGCACTGTACATCCTTTTAATGTCCTTGACAACTGTATGAAGTTGTACTGAATTCCAAACAGTAGTTTTCAAGTTATGCTCTGGACAAGGAAAAGTAACAAAGGGCAATAACTCTGTAATTAGTCAAGATGGAGTTATGGTTCTTGTGCACTGCACTTCCTCTCAATGTGCTTGACCATTGTATGAAGTTATATTGAATTCCAACTATTAGTCTTCAAGTTATGCTCCGGACAAAAAAGCAATGGAAAAGTAACAAAGGGCAATAACTCTGTAATTAGTCAAGATGGAGTTATGGTTCTTGTGCACTGCACTTCCCCTGATTGTGTTTGACAATTGTATGAAGTTATTTTGAATTCCAACAAGTAGTTTTCAAGTTATGCCCCGGACAAGGAAAAGTAACAAAGGGCAATAACTCTGTAATTAGTCAAGATGGAGTTATGGTTCTTGTGCACTGCACTTCCTCTCAATGTGCTTGACCATTGTATGTAGTTATATTGAATTCCAACTATTAGTCTTTCAAGTTATGGTCCGGACAAAAAAAAGGAATGGAAAAGTAACAAAGGGCAATAACTCTGTAATACTTTAGATAGAGTTATGGTTCTTGTGCACTGCACTTCCCCTTATTGTGTTTGACATTGTATGAAATTGTTTTGAATTCCAACCAGTAGTTTTCAAGTTATGCCCCGGAAAAGGAAAAAGTAACAAAGGGCAATAACTCTGTAATTAGTCAAGATAGATTTACGTTTCTTGTGCACTGCACTTCCTCTCAATGTGCTTGACCATTGTATGTAGTTATATTGAATTCCAACCATAAGTCTTCAAGTTATGCTCCGGACAAGGTAAATGCAACGGACAAAAAAAAAAGCAATGGAAAAGCAACAAAGGGCAATAACTCTGTAATTACTTTAGATAGAGTTATGGTTCTTGTGCACTGCACTTCCCCTTAATGTGTTTGACAATTGTATGAAGTTGTTTTGAATTCCAACCAGTAGTTTTCAAGTTATGCCCCGGACAAGGAAAAGTAACAAAGGGCAATAACTCTGTAATTAGTCAAGATAGAGTTATGGTTCTTGTGGACTGCACTTCCTCTCAATGTGCTTGACCATTGTGTGTAGTTATATTGAATTCCAAGCATTAGTCTTCAAGTTATGCTCCGGACAAGGAAAATGCAACGGACGTCTGGACCGACCGACCGACCGACCGCCCGACCAACCGACCGACCGACCGACCACCGGGTGACTCCTATATACCCCCCCAAACTTCGTTTTTGGGGGTATAAAAATATACCAACCTCTTCTCTCTCCTTGAACTTTGTAGCAAACTCTGCTGTAACCGGGACATTGAGATCAGAGAACTAAAACATACACAAACACATTATATATACACTCTGAAAATAGTCTTAAATCTTGAACTGTTTCCTACTGACTTTTTGTTTGAAATGGACTATTTTATTTTAAAGTGTGCTTTAAAATTTTCAGATTTCATACCATTGACTTGTCCTGCATAAAATTGGAAACTGTTCATAAATAGTCCGGGATTTTGATGTCAAACACTAAAACTGAGCCGTTAAGACTGGGTAGACTACCTAATTGCAGTCACAAGTATCAATCTCAGTAGAACCACTTGCCATCTGTAAGCTAACTTGACAACTTCTTCATTGGAAAGATTCCAAAGCCTCTTGCCGGATTCAAACCCACTACAGTTAAGGCAAGTGGTACTGAGTCAATGATCTTAACCAGTCAGCAACTGAGGCTCCACATATTTCTAAACATTTCATGATACATAAAAACAGTAAATTATAGAGTGTCATAAATATATTGAGTTATAGTTTGGTTTAGAGATAATATTCATGTAATATATCATAATAACAGAAATTTATATCTACATACCTGTTGTTTATTCCCTCTTCTAGTTATCAGAGTAAACTTAATGGTATTGTCTTTAACAGGTTCTGGATTTAATTCTGAAATTACATTAATTCTAATAGATCTTTAAATTGTTAGATAATAACAAGTCAATATTTCAAAACATACTAATGACTGATTTACCTTCATGCTTTGATGGGTGCATGTCACTCAGAAGCAATTTATTTGGTAGCATACAAACATAAAAGGACTATAAACGTGTAACAATCATCTATATTTAACAAATAAATTTCTATTTTAAACATGTAAACAAAAGCAGTGCATTCAGTGTTAACACTCATCTGTTAAAAAGTCTAAGTAAAAAAGGGGCATAACTCCAGAAATATTGCTTTCACAATTATGTCACTTGACTAACAAATGCAACTTGTGATGATAAGCAAATATTACCTTTTTCATATTGATAACTTTTATAAATTTTGGATTTTTAACAAAACATTAACCTTTTACCACATGAGCATATAGTGAAAAATGCCCGTTTTCATTGAAAAAAAATCTGGAAACAAAGTGATCCCTCGGAAGCATTAATCAAAAACAAAATTACATGAAAATTGCAGACTTAATTTGATTGAGTCTGTACATGAAGGATTATAAATAAGTGCAACATCCCTCATGCCCTCTAGCACCTGCAAGCCTCTTGTTACAAGTTCAAACTGCTATGAAACAATGAAATTGTTTCAATACTGATAAACTTGGCTCAAATGTTGAGGGGACCATTTGTAACAGCCTTTGTAACAACATGCTCAATCTTAAATTTCCTGTTACAATGGCAACGAGGGACGTCTCAAAATTGCCAAAATCACTATTTTGCATTGTTTTTTCGTCAAAACTGATTTCAAAGTGCTGCAACTTCTCAATGGATTGAGATAGAGTAAAAGGCTTTAAGCATTGGTTACATGTTACCTTAAGATCGACCTGAGGCCATTTTTAGCCTGTCACATGTCCAAAATTTTCTTGCGATGACGGGGGCTACTGCCCCTCTTCAAACCCCAAAACAGAAGGGGGCAAATACCCCCTCTGGCACCCTCTTGATATACCTTTTTTATAGGGGGTGGTACCGGAAAAAAGATCACTTTTTTAAACAACATTTCTCAAATGAAAAGTGTTTGGGGCCTAAATAGGGCATTTTTCACTAGCTGAGGCCTCAAAAAGAGGGTGGGTGAAAAGCCATCAACACACGTCTATATGAGGTAAAAGGTTGAAGTTTTTGCCAAGCAACAGCGTACATGACACCCCAGTTATCATAATAGCTAGTCTTTTTCTTTGAAACAGATGAGCTTTCCAAAATGTAAATTCTTATACATAGACATGATGAAACATCATACTTACAATTTATATTTTGTAACTAAGGGACCATGTAAGCCTGAGTATTGGAATATTCTTCAACTTTGTTCACAAGAAAAAAAAATCAAAGTTCAATGTTAAATAAAGTTATTATTATTATCATTATTATACTTTATCATTATTATACTTTATTTACCAAACTTTTTCTTGCTGCCTTTTAAATTGACTGGAACAGGGACATCAAACTGTGGGACTTTAATTGACTCATTGTTTCTAGCCTTAGATGTATCTTCTAACATTTTATCAAACGCTGCCATAAAATCATCATCCTCTTGACATTCTACCCTCTTCATATTTGACTTTACGTATCACCTTAAATATAACATTGTGTTTTTTTTAGTTTAATAACAAAACTTTGACTCTTAATTTACAATTTATTTGCTTCTAAATTTTCTGATTTACTTTAAAAATTTACAATTTACAAAAAATCCAATCAATTTTTTCCATCTCTTTAATTCATCATATTTATATAATCAAAATTTTGATTTATTGCCATCTCATATGAAAAATTTAAAGTAAGGTTTATAGTGTTTTTCCCTTCGAATCAAATAATTACCTGATCCTCATCCAAGTCTGGTCAGCTATCTATGTATTTATCATCAGAATCATCTTCATAATATCACTTCAGCCTCTGATCTGATGTGTTCACATCTTTGTGTCTGATCATACATACATTGTAAAATATACTACACATAAGACTAGTGTGTCTGATATACATACATGTACAGATAAATTGTATCTGATATAGATAAAGTGTATCTGATATACATACATGTAAAGATAAAGTGTATCTGATATATGTGAATGTCAAGATATAGTGTGTCTTGATATATATACATGTAGAGATATACATACATGTAAAGATAAAATGTGTCCAATATAAATACATGCAAAGACATAGTGTGTCTATTATAAATACATGCAAATACATGTACACAGTGTGTCCAACAATACATGTAAAGACATAGTAGAGTGCCTGATATACGTAAATGTTAGGACAGTGTGTCTAATACAATTCAAGGTGAGTATTGCCAGACATACCATATATATTACTTCATGTTCTGGACTAAGAACATGGGGTAATGTGGTTATTGTACATTGCCATCTACAATACTGAATTCTATAGAACGATTACATAGCTGTCTATAATGGACAGAGAGTTGGCTGATTCTACTATCTATTTTCCAGCTGTGTATCTGAGTAGAACCACTAACCTTCAGTGTGTTTGCTGAATAACCTTCTTACATGAAAGAATACAAAGATTTCGACCAGTAGCGGTGAGTGGTAAAGGATTCAGAGTCAGGGACCCAAACCCCTTTTCCAGGGAGACCCTACATAACTTAAGAAAATTGTTTAGATACAAAACTTGGGGTAATGAGGTTATTGTACATTGCAATCTACAATGCTGAATACTACAAATTGATTACACAGCTGTTAACCCTATATTGGACAAGGAGCTAGCTGAGTCTACTATCTCTATGCACTGTTTCAATGTAATCAATAATGTATAACAATCTCTTTATTTCACACCTCACTTTTTAGACATTTTAATAGAATTTTGTTACTTGATTTGATAAGGGATTTTTTTCGACTCAGAAAATGAAAACTAGGCTAATGATAGATTTTCATTTTGCTAGTTTTAAAAAACAGTGACCAATGGAAGTACAAAAGTAATCTCAGGTAAGACCTCAAAATAAGCTTGTTACCTCCAGAACTTGGGTCATTTTGTTTGTTTTGTTTTGGGTTTTACGTCACATCGACACAGTATAGGTCATGTTCCAGCTTTACTGGTGGAGGAAGACCTCAGGTGCCCTTCTGTGCATTAATGCAGGCACGAACGGGCACCTGAGTAGAACCACCGATGTTCCGTAAGCTAGCTGGATAGCTTCCTCACATGAAAGAATCCAAAGTCCCTGTCGGAATTCGAACCCACAGCGTTGAGGGGCAAGTGATTTGAAGTCAGAGACCTTAACCACTCGACCATGGACGCCCAACTTGGGGTATAAATGGCATCATGTATCTACCCACCTGTCTGGTTTGAGATCCAGTGAGATCATTTTGACTCTGGCTATTTTGGCTGTTTTCACTCTCATCTTCCTCCAGTAATTTTCTCTTGTCTTGTTGACTAGCATCACTAGTCTCGTCAGACTCCTGTATAGTAGTCAAACCTCCATCATCTGTTTCACTTACACCCCCTTCCTCTGTATCTATTATAGGTAATATGGCAGCTGAAATATACATTTTTACAGTACAAGAGCGATCAGTGATCACATTTGTCACCTGATGGTAGCTCATTCAGGACTTGTATTGAGGGGTGATTAAACAGTTTGTCCCCTATATGTTGCGGCTACTTTGTAGCATGTTGCTGCTACTGTGTAGCAGGGGACACAAAAATGATAAACATGCCGAAACGCCTTTTTTATTCAAGGGCTATAACTCAGCCAAAAAACATTCAACTGGAAAACCCATTAAATATGCTCAAGTATTTGAGGTACCCATCAATCCTGTAAAGTTTCAATACAGGTGCATAATAAGTAAAAGAAAAGTAGTTTTGACAAAACTTTAAAACATAAAATAAATAAAGGGCTATAACTCTGCCAAAAATCATTGAACTGGAAAATTCTTCATTAATTTACATGGGTTTATAATCCTTAGACAGCCTTCGGAAATATACATAATCCTACATTTTTGTACGCTACCAATACACAGCAAAGCCTGATTGCAAACCTGGATTACTCACCTGAGAAATTAAGGTCAAAAGGACAAAGTGGAGCCCCTTTTCACCCCAGAAGCACAATATGAAAACAATGGACAGCTTAATCTAAACAATTTTGTGTACTGTCACCAAGAAATTTTGTGAAAATTTATTTCAAAATTGAACAAGTGGTTTAGATGCTGTTTAGATGTTGTTTTCTAATTTTAGCTGTGACCGCCATTTTATTAAACAATTCAGCCTGTCACTAAGTGAGAGGTGAGCTAATAAAAAGATGACTGAAAAAGAGAAGGAAAACAAACATTGACCTGGCTGGGGATTGAACTGTCGACCTCGATACCCTAGGGCCGGGTTAATTTTGAACCTAGGGGTTTTATTTCAACAAACATAGTAGACATACACTAGAACATGTCTCATGCCAAATATCTAAGCTCTACCTCTTTTGGATTTTCACAATAAGATTTTTTAAATTTTAACTATATATTCATATAAGAAAAATAAATGACCCCTAGGGCCAGGTCAATTTTGACCCTAGGGCATTGATTTGAACAAACTTGGTGGACATACACTAGAAGATGTTTCATGCCAAATATCTTATCTAGATCTATAGCGCTTTTAGATTGTCAGAAGAAGATTTTTTAGTTTTTATTATATACAAATAAGGAAAATCAATGACCCCTTGGGGTGGGGTCAATTTTGACCCTAGAAGTTTTATTTGAACAAACTTGGTAGACATCTACTAGAACATGTTTCATGCCAAATATATAAGCTCTACCTCTTTTGGATTTTCACAAGAACATTTTTTAAAATTTTTACTATATACATATAAGGAATGTCAATGACCCCTGGGACGGGGCCAATTTTGACCCTAGGGCATTTATTTGAACAAACTTATTAGACATCCACAAGAAGATGTTTCATGCCAAATATCTAAGCTCTAGCTCTTTTGGTTTTTTACAAGAACATTTTTTTTAGATTTTTGTAAAAAATTCTTTCGGTTGCCATGGCAACCAGAGTTCTTTATGGAATTTAATTCTTTGAACAACTTTGGTAGAGCTTCATGCAAGGAACATCCCTACCAAGTTTCAACAAATTTGGCCAAGTGGTTAAGGAGGAGGAGTTGTTTAAAGAAATTGTTGATGCACGGACGAATGACTACGGACAATGGGCTATCACAAAAGCTCCAAGTTTTACAATTTTTTGTTTAAATTCATTTTCCATGGTTTACCTATATTGGGTTAAAATTCATTCTCTAAGTTTAACTATTTTGGAAACAAATTCCAAGGTTTATAATTTTGGTTTAAATTCATTGTCCAAGATATACCTATTTTGGGTTTAACCTTATTTTCCAAGGTTTACCTATTTGGGTTTAATGTTTACCTATTTCGGTTTAAATTTATTTCTAAGGTTTACCTATTTTGGGTTTAAATTCATTTTCTAAGTCTTCACATGCTTTACAAGCCTCCTCAAAACTTGTGATCATTTTTAATTTTGGTCTTACAGCTTCAAGTGTGTCTTGCATGAGATTTTCTACGTCAATTGGAAATGGTCGATTCTCATTCCATATTGGACAATGCTTCTTGTACCAGTAATATCTCTGTAATCACAATTTTTAAACAATTATCAACAAAAACTCCAAGTGAAATGTTATAATAAATAACTATGCTAGCATATAAAAAGGTCCGTTTGATCAAAGCTTATTTCAAGAAACTCTTACTCATTTATTTTTACTTCCTTATACTTTAAACATCAGTTATGAATTCAGCTATTACACAAGTTGTCAGTAAGTCAGCATCATCATACTGCATAATATGCTGATTTTATTCTGTAACATCGCACTTGTCCATGTTATAGAAATAATTCATTTATAATAAAAAAATTACCTGAAAGTAAACAAGAAAGCAGTCTAGTTTTTTCTTACTGGACCCTTTATCAAAATACTGTCCACATGTCTCTAATACAACACATACTGATCTGATCCTGAACAGATGATCTGGAGGATCTAATACTGATATCTCATTCTCTGTAATACATTCAAAATTACAATTATTGATATCAAATCTGGATTTGTATGTTATACATTCAAGTTACAATAATTGATATCAAATCTGGATTTGTATGTTACACATTCAAGCTACAATTATTGATATAAAATCTGGATTTGTATGTTACACATTCAAGTTACAATAATTGACATCAAATCTGGATTTGTATGTTACACATTCAAGCTACAATTATTGATATCAAATTATGGATTTTTATGTTACCATTCAAGTTAAAATTATTGATATCAAATTATGGATTTGTATGTTACACATTCTATATACAATTATTGATACCAATTTCGTATTTGTATGTACCATATTCAATGTACAATTATTGATATTCTATGCAACACATTCAATTTACAATTTTTGATATCAAATCTGATTTTCTATGTACACATTTAATTTACAATTATTGGTATCAAACCATTCAATATTACAATTATTGATATCAAAAACTAAGGTCTTTGTAATTTCTAATACATATCTCAATCTCTCAATATCATATCTATTGATATCAAGTAGAGGTTATTTGTTTGTTTTACATGTAAGATCGAAATATATTTCACAGAGTGAACATAAGATGTATATTAAATTTTAAAATAAAAAGACTGATGTTCACGAATGAGATATAATTTTATCTTACATATAAAACAAACAACTTTTTTCTATTTATTTCATGCATTTTAGGGTTTTTTTTTAATGATTTTTGCCACAATTCAACATGTACTTTCATTCATGATGTCATCAAATCATGACAACATTTCATTCATGTTGAAAAATAATTCTGTAAAATTCTACAAACCATGTTACACAGTTTTACAATAATTATTGCAGATATTCATATGCTTCCCATAATCAAGCACATTTTACTCACAATGTAGTGGAGTGTATTTCAAACCATATTTCAACTTATTTAAGATAATTATATTCTTTTCATCCACCATTAGATATAGTCTGGCCTACAGTGAAAATCATATTCTATAATTTCTGAATGAATTTTGAAAAAATAGTTTCACTGTCCACTGAAAAGCATCTAGTAAATAATGATTTCTTGGTTAACACATTCAATATTAAAAAATCACACAGACTTAATCAGCTGCCATTGTTAAATTTGAATGATTGGAATAATTTTGATGCAGTACTACAAAGAAGTAATTATTAGGATCAATATATTTTAACCTTAGTGCACAAATTGGTAAACACCTATTATAACATTATAGGTGTTAACCTATAACTGCACTAAGGTGATGATAATCTGAACTAACGTCCTAATACTTGAAACATTAAAAGATGATTAAATATACACAATGTCTCATGTATTATAAAAAAAAACAACTACAGTGCTGTTAAGAATTAAAATCATGTCTGTTTTCTGACTTACCTTGATTAGACACACCAAATGTAATGAATGAATAAAGTGTTTTGAAAATGACAGCAGATTCCACCATTCTGTAGTTATATAATTCACCAAGATATTTAGCACAGCTAACTCTTCTCTGGTTATACTTGGGATGGTTGATCTAAAATCACATTTTATTTGATCAAGTTTATAT